GGGGACAGGAACACCTTTCAGGGGAACCTGGAAGAACAGGGAGGGGTAAAGAGGGACAGGGGAGGACTTGGGGGGGACAGGGACATCCCTCAGGGGGACACGGGGGGTGGATGGAGATGGACAGCCCTCGGGGAAACTTGGGGACACTGGGACACCCTCCAGGACAGTGCTCCTGTGGACAATCCCTCAGAGGGGACTTGGGGGCCCATGGTGCCCCTCAAGGGCTGGGGACACCGTGCCTGTGAGCTGTCACCTACCCCTGGCGTGGGGGGGTGGGGTGGGGGCTGTTCACTCCCTCCAGCCTGACCAGTGCCACCAGACTGCAGCGGGGGGAGGGGGGCCACCCACCCTGGTGCCCGCTGAGCTCTGTCCCCGCAGACGTCGCCTACCTGCGCTCCGTCCTGCCCAGCACCACGGAAGACGCCTTCTTCGATTACTTGGCCACCCTGGACGCCTCGGAGGTGACAGTCTCTGCCGTGCCGGAGGGCTCCGTCGTCTTCGCCAGGGTGGGACGCGCTCAGCCCCCTCCCCTGCTTCGAGAGGGGCTTTGGGGTCCCCGGGGAGGACTGAGATGTCACCGCCCGACTGTCCCCGCAGGTCCCGTTCCTGCAGGTGAAGGGGCCGCTGCTGGTGGTGCAGCTGCTGGAAACCACCTTGCTGTGCCTGGTCAGCTACGCCAGGTAGGGACACATCCTGCTTTGGTCCCCCCAGCCACCAGGGACCACGTCGGTGGTCCCCGCCACCTCCCCGCGCACCGGCTGCGGTTGAGCGGAGAGGGTCCCGGAGCTCTGTCCCTCCTTGGCTGTGCGCCGGCTCCACGCTCAGCCTGGTTTGGTGTGACCTGGCTCTTCCTCCCCCAGCCTGGTAGCCACAAACGCCACTCGCTTCCGACTGCTCGCTGGCCCGGATGTGAAGCTGATGGAGATGGGGCTCCGTCGGGCTCAGGGGCCGGATGGTGCCCTTTCAGCCTCCAAGTACTCCTACATTGGGGGTGAGTGCTGCGCCACGGCGCCCCGCGGCACTGCGGCCACGCCATCACCCCCGTGTGTCCCCCCCGTCCCTCCTTGCAGGCTTTGACTGCACCAGTAACATCCTGGCGGGGAAGCTCTACGGCATCCCGGTGCGCGGCACCATCGCCCACTCCTTCATCATGTCCTTCACCTCGCTGGACGAGGTGCAGCCCCGGGTGAGCATCACTGGGGGTGGG